ATATGGTTATAAAATCATACATCAAAAACTTGGATAAGTCTAAAATGCAAAAACCTACGTATATTGGTTGTTTCATTAAAACATTCACACGTTTTTTCTCCACTGCTACCAAATTTTCGTTAAATATTTTGCAAGATGCGTAGGATGGTTTAGCTGTTTCTTTATTAAGTTTCTCTTCCGTGTGACAAAGTTTCACATCTTTATGCTTGCGTTTATTGAGGAGGGTCCGACCAAAAATTGAATTATTCAACAGCTTATATAAACATTTCTCAAATTCATTCTTTGCATTTTTCCTTTTTTTTGTGTTAAATTCTATGTTCTTCTTCAACCAGGGACTTTGTTTAAACTTGAGTACTCTGTGTATCTTTTTGATCTTCATTCCTTTACAAGATCATACGTAGGAGGGTAGGGGGATTAAAAACACTTCCGTTAATTTTCCACCACCGGATTTTAACCAGGATGTTAAGTAGCAGTTAAGAGGATTACAAGATTAATCTACTTCAGTTAAGAGGATTATAACCAGGATGTTAAGTACAAGTTAAGAGGATTACAAGATTAATCTACTTCAGTTAAGAGGATTATAACCAGGATGTTAAGTACAAGTTAAGAAGATTTAGAGATTAATCCACTTCAGTTAAGAGGATTATAACCAGGATGTTAAGTAGCAGATAAGAGGATTAAGAGATTAATCCACTTCAGTTAAGAGGATTATAACCCGGATGTTAAGTAGCAGTTAAGAGGATTAAGAGATTATAGACCGGATACTACGTCATAGTTAAGAGGATAAGCTGTGACGTGGCTTCCTGTGGCGGACTGACCCCATTTCCTACTACTTGAATAGGCCCAATCCAACGGTTGATAGGTTGATACGGAGTTCCAAGTAAATTGATGTGTATCCCGGAATGATGCATTTTATTCACAACGGTATTTGTCGATGGTGCCTACTTTTCAGGTTGGTGTTGCCAATGATGCCAATAGTTCTATATAGATATATATAAACCAAATAATGCAATACCAGAAGTATATTAAAACAAAATTTGAATGCAAGTCATGCTCATCAAGGTCATAATATCTGCCATAAAGGGGGAGTTTGAATAAAGTCATATCTAATAACCAAAAATCAAGGGGTCATATTTACATATATATATATACATTTAGAATAATTGAATTGTGTCAAACAGGGTACAATTATAAACGTGTTTGAAAATTTCTCAAATCATGGTAAAAGACTAGAGTAAAGTGAATCTGAATCAGCTGCTGATGCTTGAACCGTTTGCTTAGAAGCATTTGCTGGCTGACTCAATATAGTAGCGAAACTTTGATGTATCACATAAATATAAGCATTAAAAGGTTGTGCCAAAACTTTCTTAATTCTATAAGATTGGAGAAAACTTAGGGTAAGTGTGGTCGGGATCTTGATAAACTTTTGGGTTAGCTTATTTGTAACTTCAAATAATGACCACACTGCAAACATTTTACATGAGGGTAATAAGGCAACAGTCAAATCTAAGACCGATGGTCTTGAAAATTCGTAGTAAGATGGGCACAAGGATAAATCTAATATTGGGATGACAATAACACCCAAGGGTGACTGGGGAATAGAAGTATGGTCACCATTGGTCTTCCTCCGACCGGCAGTAAAACCCTTGCTACTAGGGCAAAAATGCCACACATGTGTCACGCATGTACCTAAAAACGCATGTGTCACAGGTGTGTCACATGCGTAATACACATGTTTCTGGCCACGCATGTGAATCATGCGTGGTACACATGCGTTCACATGCGTAATACACGCATGTGAATCGCATGTGTCAGAAAAACACCTGTGTCACGCATGTGTTGGAAAACGCATGTGACACATGCGGTATTTGCATGTGTAACACATGTATAGTCAAACGCATGTGTAACGCATGTGTTACACAGGAAAATTTTGTTGATATGAATTCAAGTTAAATTTTTCACGTGAATTTTACGTAAAAATTTTTCATGTGAAATTCACATGAAAAAAAAGTTAATTGTGTCCAAGTTGAAAAAAATTAACATCAAAATTAAAACTTGTTTATTAACATCTAATACCTTGTAATTATATATTCCATTGAAAATCTTATTTTACTTTTAAAAAATTTATTTTCACATGAAACCCCCCTTTTTTTGAATGATCAATGCATTTAAATGGGGAAACATAATTGGAACCCCCCTTTTATCCTGTGTTGGGACCCTCCCCCTTTTAAAAATGGCTGGATCAGCCCCTGATTATCCTTAATTGTCACCATAATAAATGTTATTTTATCCAATCAGCTTAGGAAAATAATCGCAGGAAAAAAAAGGCAAAGTAAATAAAATTGCAATAATTGTCAGATATGGGTCCAGGATCCTGAAAAAAAAAGTGAGACTAGACTTGTAAAAAGTCTCTCTCTATATATAATTCCTAAAGGGAGTAGGCCAGGGGATTCTGTGAATCATCCCCCTTCCCCCATAAAATGTTCTTCTTATTTGAACAATTAAAAGTTTAATCTTTAAGCATTTATTTTAATTAAGATTTTCATTGGTATTTCTTTTAATACATATACACAGGTAAAAGAAGTATGCGTTTATATTGGGAGAATTTGGTGTTAATTGCAGATCTTTTGATCTTCACCACTTTGAAAAAAAATGATTTAGAACTTGGAATATCTAGATGTGTTGTGTTGTGTTTTTGTTATTATTGTTTGAATAACTTTCTCAAAGGTGTGTTACAATAACCTTACATCTCTTTTTATTCCTATATATCTGCCAACTATCTTGGACAAAAGACAGACAGATACACCCAGTAGATATATTTAAGTCTTAGGTGCCTCATACAGTTATGGAACTAAATTATACATTTGCATATTTTATTTAGTATTTTCTTATTTGTAACCCTTGTGTTACAAAAATGACTGATTGTATGTAACATTGACATTGGGTTGTACAAGTGTAAATTTAAAAATTACCTGGTTTGGTAGTTCAAACAAACGTGACCAATTAACATTGTCAATACTTGATTGTTGACCATTCTGATTATCTGTCCAAGTACAAAACTATGCTAACAAGATAATACACATGAGCATATAGAAAGTACTTGAAAAGTTTCAGAGTGTTTGGGGTAGTCTGTCCTGTACGGCTCATAAGATAAAGGGGAAAGCAACACTATTATCGTGTTTAAATCACGACAAACAATAGTCACTACATACTTTCGTCCCTTTAATTTTTAGGCTTATACAATGTACAGAATAATATACCATTATAACTTTATCATACATTTCTTCATCTTTGGTGTGGAATAAAAGCAAAGGATATAATTACCTGTTTATATTTTACTTGTGTTTCAAGCAAGCATTTGGTGGGTTGAGAGGGGTTTACTGTAACGGCGGTTATAAACTTACATAGGCAGATCCAGGGGGGGCCTGGGCCCCCTTTTCGTGGGAAAAATTTGGTTGATTATATAGGGAATCACTGAAGCATGACTGGAGCGGGGTCCCCTTAGGTCAGTCAGCGGGCCCCCCCCTTATGAAAAGTTCTGGATCCGCCACTGACTTACCACCACCCAGTGACGTGCCACCACATCAGTGTTCTGCAGGCACTTGCCCGCAGGTGGTGTCAAAAGTTACATGTGCTTGTGTTTTTTCAAAGTTCATAAAATGTGGAACAAATGTCCTCAATTTCTCTATTCTATTTTTAAGGGGAACATAAATATCAATGATCAGTGTTGGAGCTGGGACTATTGTATAATAGTCTCCATAATAGTCCCAGGTTGGAGGCATTGATGTCATTAATACCATTGTGAGGGTACTACTGGAAAGAAGTTGTTTAAGAATAGATCAACCAAGGATTTGTTTATTGGATCAATGGTGATAACATTTTAAAACTGTGATACCCAAACAACCTTGGTATGAAATACTGGACAGAAATTCCCAGTAACCGTTGGGCTTAACATTACACAAAAACTAAAGATTGTGCCATTGACGGATCCAGAAATTTTCATAAGGGGGCCCACTGACTGCTAAAGAGGGGGCCTCCCTAGTCATGCATCAGTGATTCCCGATATAATAGATCAAATTTTTCCCACAAAAAGGGGAAGGGCAGGGTGCTCTAAATCCGCCTTTATGTGCAACACGAACCTCCAAAATACATGGGTGAACTCTAGTATTGTGAATGATAAAGTTAGGAACTTCTGCTCAACATGTGGCAACCTAGGTTTGAGTATACATGTAATTGCCAAATTAAGTAAGTAAAACTTTGATTTGATTCGCCATATTGGCAAACATGTGAAGATAAGATCTGGTGAGCTTTTCGTCGAATATCATGAGGAGATAGTGTTAAAAATATTTGCATAGTTCATGAGTTGAAAATAAAAAACAAAATATATTGTTTAACCTTGGACAAAAAGATCAAGTCCAAAACTGGCTGTTATTTGTGTAGGCTACCTTAATCTTGAAGAGTATGCAATTTTAAATCAAGGAGGCAGTAGGCAATTTCCTAATAATATTACAAAAGAACTTGTCACAGATTCTTAACTAAACGTCTATCAGATTAGTAAAATTTCTAATTTACTGACATCTGTTGGACATAGATACTCAAATTGCAGAATCTTATTAGTAATAAAAAAAAATCTGTGTTTTCTGTGACATCATTTTGAAAAATATATGTTTATATTATTTTATGTATTACACTCTAACTGTCTAACATTTAATTCTCCTCTGATTAGAGTAATTATCGTTTGTCAATTTTCCAAACTTCCCATGCCCCCCTCAGCAGAGTTATTTAATTCTGAATGGAACAAAATGTGAATGAGTTATAAATAATATATAAATGATTGAATATTCTTTATTTAGTTTTTCTTTATTCTCAATTCTTCCAGAGACATGTATATGCTCTGATAAAAATGTCTTTGCATGATTCTTCATAATTAAGTATACTCCGGCAATTATTCTCTAGGATCCTTTATTCTATATTTTTGCTTTTCAACTATCTGTATATTTTTTTGTGTCCTTATTTAAATCCCCATTCTTGATTCCAGACTAACTCTCATATATATACGTAAATGTACGAAAGCTTGGCACGTCGAACACGGAAACCCGGAAATCTTTTCACCGTTGCCGTTTTTATACTATGACGCAAAATCCATGGACGCTCGTCTGCTGCTGAATTCATGTTTTACTGTTTAAAAAGAATGGACAAAGATAGTCAGATAGTTGATACAAAGACCTTTGATTTTTCAAACTGATGGATCAAAAAGTTATTATAAACAGATATATTGAAATGGGTTAGTAACTTACATTGTCGATTAACTGAATCCGGGGAACGAAGCAATACATTAGAAAGTCAACGCAAAGAAAGTGTTTCGTTTTGATGGATTACGTACCAACTTATTGTACTTGGAAAGCGCAATGAAATATAAATATAATCATGCGCATTTTTAGGAAGATGCTAGTGCTATACTTTTCACGAAAAACCATTTGACTTTATCCATGTCATGCATGTAAACCCGAAAATCAGTCAAAGATTGGCAAAAACGGAAGCAAGTCAACTCGCCCCATTGCAATTGGCAAAAACGGAAGCAAGTCAACTCGCCCCATTGCAATTGGCAAAACGCCCCATTATTTTAAAATCGCTCCACTCTTGTTTAGGGAGCTACCATTTGATTTTTATGGGAGAGGGGGCTTTGACGGAATTTGAAAAAATGCTGGACAGGAGTTTTGAGTAAAAAAATAAAAGCCAGGACCGAAAAGAGTGAATAATAAACTGTCAGGACAGATATTACAACTAAAAAAAATTTGCCTAACTTGGGTAAAATCCAAATGAATATAATCATGATAATATATAATAAATATATTATAAACAGATAAAGGTCTACCAACTCGCCCTACATGTACTTTAAAAAAATGAAAACTTATCTACCCAGAATTAGAAAAAAAAATTGAAATTTAATATATGATATTTATTGAATTTAAATGATGTTTCACTTCTTAAAATATAATTGTAGATTCATTATTTACTATTATTTAATTTATGTATTTATTGGAAAATAACTTTATTCTTGCATTAGCTTAGTTATTTGCAAAATAATTGCAAAGAAACCCGTTAATTGTATCATAATCTATCTGATTGTTTTTTAGCCGACTCAAAATCATGCTGTTAATTAGGGCCCCCTGTTGTACATGTACTTAGGAATCGGACACCTCCAGAAGATGAAAGATCTACTTTACATGTACGTAATGTAAATGTAAAAATAAGAAAATGTGGTATGATTGCCAATGAGAAAAGAGAGGAATTGGTAAAAGTCAGTGAAAATTCACTTGTTTTCCAATCCTAATAAAACTGTCATATTGTAATGTTTAAATAACCTAATTATTTTCAAAATAAAATCTTGTTTACACTAATGAGAAAAGACAACTCTCCATCATATTAATGACATCAAAGTTAACAACTATAGGTCACTGTACATCCTTCAACAATAAGCAATCCCCATACCATATAGTCAGCTATAAAAGACCCCAAATGAAAATGACAAATTTGTAAAATAATTCAAACAAGAAAACTAACATGAAAATGACAAATTTGTAAAATAATTCAAACAAGAAAACTAACAGACTAATTTATATACAAAACAAAGAACAAAAAACAAAATATGATACACAGCAACAAACGACAAACTGAACCACTGAATTACAGGCTCCTGACATGGGACAGGCACATACATACAAATATGTACAGGATGGGGTGGGGCTAGACTAGTAGTTTGTGGTGCCGAACCCACTTCCTAACCTGGTATATTGATGTGAAAAGGGCTTAACTCGTCAGATCTATACAAAGTAGAAAGACATCTAACAAAACCACACACAAGACGTGGTGGGTACTTATACATCCCCACAACAAAAAAGACCAAGTTCAGATCTGAGAGTACTCCCAGTTACTAACACCTAGTTCAAAGCCAAAAACAAAGTACATTGTACATGTACAATGTATTTACCACCAAACCTTGCCTGGTTTAGTCCATTTCTCAGATACTACCTTATATAAAATAGTCCAACTTTTGGTGTAATTTAAACAACTTTGAAGGACTTAAAATTTCAAAGTATCATGATTATTAATAACTTAATCCCCAAAGATTGGCATTATAAATCATGACAGATTCAGAGATCCTGTAATAAATACATGTAATCACTTTTGTTCATCCCTTCATTCAAGGGTCATATGGAATTTATATGATGGATTAGAACATTAATAAAATGATTAAATACTTTTTTGTAGTCATTTTTTTTTTCAGGGAAAGTTTGTTGGTCTAGTTTTAAAAGATCAAAGCAAGCCAATCTTGCCAGATCAAAATATTAAAGGCAATTTTGGCAGATACATTGTATTATAACTTCATTTTATTAAACATTATTTATTTTAGCTTTTTCAACGAAAGTACAATTACTTTGAGAAGTAGGAGAAGCTAAGCAACAGGACAGAATTCATTTGAGGCATTGCTTTCTAGATTATAAAGTGGAGTCATAGATTGTCCTATTGATAATGATTTATGTGCATATGAGGAGCAGTAGTCAATGAATAATTTTGTGATGAGAGGTATGTAATGAAAATGATAACTATGTTTGAATAATTTTTTCTTGTCAGACTCTGTACATGCAGTTTCGAAGATTTTTTTAAAAGTTTGAGGTCAAAGAGTTTAAAGTTTAATTCTTGTAATGTTGTGGGCAAGTTCGAAAATTATCCTTGTTAGAAGTGACAAATTTATTTTTTTTACAGGTCAATTTTATAGAAAATTGCATTCAAAGCTCTCTTGATCGCTTGTTCTTTTTTGTCTAGCCATAACAGTTATGAAGCTGTGACTTAGGCAGGCTGTTTTCAATAGAGGCATAGTCGTAAAAAAATTGTTGATATTCATGATGAGGTCAGTTTAAGGAAACCAAGAAATAAAACCTTTGCACCTTTTGTTGGCGGTATACCATCTTTTCCACAAGTTCATTGTTTTCTGTTTAGTATTAAATTTATAATTAAGATTTATTATTACATCGGTGATCCGTTTATTTGGCAATTTATACAGGAATAATGTCACTTTGAAATGTACGAGTTAGAAAGTAAGTGCTATTAAAATTTAGGTTTACAGAAGTTATTCCTTGGAAATATACATTGTTTAATGTAATGAAAATTGCATTGCAAGCAATCCCAAACAGGTCTACATTTCTGTTAGATTATTTATGAAAATGTTTAAAAGAACAACCATATTGTATACTACAGCAAAAAAGTTTTGAGGTCGTATATTGCTATCAACTCGTTAGAAGACATTTGGTTTCAGGACAATAACTTCAGTTTAAGTGTATGAATGTCTATGAAATTAGATTTAAAGGTTCAATACCACAAAAGGAAGGTTGGGATTATTTTTTTGGTGTCATGGTTCAACCAGTGTAGGAATTAGGGGCCAAAAAAGGCCCAAATCAAGCATTTTTCTAAATTCAGGACAATAACTTGTTTATAAGTATTTTGATTGCTATGAAATTGTACCACAAGTACAAAATGTAGAAGGTTAAGTTTCATTTTGGGGGTATTTGCCCAAACCATTCAGGAATTAGAGACCAAAAAGGGTCTAAAACAAGCATTGTCAGACTGGCCTATATTATGAATTGATCATGATAAGTTGTTCTCGTTTAGAATACATAAAGTATTTGCCTCTGGACATTAAAATAAGAAAAAAAGTCAATCAATTTATGTTTTTGCATTATCAGAATGAATTTGCAAATATATAACAATTAAATTATGTTGTATCCTTGGAGCTTTTTCAATGACCTAGCATATAAATATAAAAAGATGAGGTATGATCCTCAGTGTGACAACTATCAATTAATAGACCAAAGGACAAAGATGTAAACATTTACTGGTCAATGTACAGCCTTAAACAATGAACAAAATCAATACCATAAAGTAACCTACAAGGATGAAAAATATAAACTACATACAGTAATGGCAACATAAGAACCAACTTTCAAAATTAGCCAAAAAGGACTGGATTCATCAATAGGTCTTATAATAAAAAAGGTGCAAAAAACATGTTTTCCCAAACTAAAATATCTATCAGTTTACATTCAACAGATTTAGTGTAACAATGTTTCACAGTTTGTCATTTCATGCAGTCTTAAGAAGAGTATGACTGTGTAATGTCAAAATATTCAATATATCAAAAGGGTATAAAACCTATTTCGCAATGCAAGTATGCAAGGATGTACAGACAGACAAGTGTAAAACTTAATGCCCCCTCCGTTACGACAAGGGCATAAAAAAGAGATGCACAATGGGACTATGTCGGAAGTTTTAATAAATTATGAATTACATGTTTATGCAGAAAAAACACATACAAATGTGTGTTCTTGTGTGCAGATATAACTAATTCCATGTCAAAATTCCATGTATGTTTGACAAAGTTGTTGATATCCAAAAAACATTAAAAAACTTTAAAGGGGGATTTTCCAGTTTTGGGACAATAACTCAAAATGTGTTCACCAAATGGCAAGAAACTTTTGTGACTTGTTTGTATCTGTTGACATGAGCTCCCTTTCGATTTTTATAAATTTAAGATTTTATGTTTCCAAGTTGTGGGGTTATATTCATTTAAAAAAGGGAGATTTTCCAGTTTTCAGACAATAACTCAAAAATGCTTACAGCAGTTTTCATAAAACTTTGGTGAATTGTTTATATTTATTGTCGTAAGCTCCCTTTTGGTTTTTATTAATTTTAGATTTTATGTTTCAGACTTATGTGATTTTATTCATAAAAAAGGGGGATTTTCATATTTCAGACAATGCTTTGAGCAGTTATCATGAAACTTTGGTGACTGGTTTATATCTATTAAGATAACCTCCCTTTAGTTTTTCATGAATGTCTGATTATGACATTGAAAAGTTATTGAACTTTATTCTTTGAATAAGCGATTGGTGTATCATGTGCTCATGGTGCAGCTGTCTATTTATTTTGGGCCAGGTTTTCAAATTGGTCTACATGCAGGGGTTAAAATTTGCATTAAAAAATGAAAGGTCCTGGACTATTTGAAATTTTCAGTCCAGTGAAAGGTCCTCCATTCTTTTTGTCAACATTGAAACCATTCTGAAGCGTACGAAAGGTATAAATAAAATGTACTTCTAGAATTTTATGTTTGACATCATGAGTACGCATATGACGTCACATTGTTTAGTTGCTAAAGACAATGCAACAGTTTCACAGACTTTTTCATTTATTTCATTTTACGCCAAAATATTTGTTAAATGGAATTTATTTTAATATGCTGCATTAGAAAGTAGATAACTGTATTGTATTTTAAGCTTGGCCTTCGTTAAACTTGATTTTACCATAGGCGGATCCAGGGGGGCGGGCCCCCCTTTTGTGGTAAAAATTTGGTTGATTATATAGGGAATCACTGAAGCATGACTGGAGTGGGCCCCCCCTTAGTTATTAAAAGTTCTGGATCCGCCACTGTTTACTGTCACATCACTAGGTAAATACAGAATTCTAAATGTGTAAGCTAATTGTTTGCAAAACTCTTTGAATACTTATTATAGTCTTGCATCCACATGCTATTAATAAAGTACTGTTTTCTCCCTTTCAGCTGTACATTGTATTACAACAAATGGACAGAGGAGTTGACTATTGATAGTGACTGATAATGGACTGGAGTAACCTAGGGTCCAATGACTCCATGCCTGACAGTCCATGTGTACATGTATGTCAACAGCCAATTCCAAGTAACCTTAAACATATATATACAAAAGACCTAAAATAATAGTATGTGCATTTATTTATAACTTATATATATAGGACAATGGTGTTGATTAAAAATTACACCATTCCAGGCCCATTTGTTTTCCACATAATTATTACTACAGATAATTAACAAGTTCTGGGTCGAAGGGTTCAAAAAGAAAGATTTTGAAAGCAGAGAAAACTGTGCACCTAATGACCAGCATAACATTATTAGATGACAAAACGAAAAATCTTAAAATCCAGGCTAAAAATAAGGCTAAGGTACTTTGCTTCAGTCACGACACCATGATGTCCCGGGAGTATTCTAGTATATATTATATATACAGGTAATGTGTAGTACACATGCATGAATAGAGTTAGTTTTCATTATTACGGTAATTTATGTTGATAAAAATGATAATATGTAGTATTATTGCCAATGAGACAACTATCCACCAGAGTCCAAATGACTGAATGTTAGCAACTATAGATCACTGTATGAACAGCTTTCAACAATGAGCAAAACTGATACTGCATCTAGCAAGCTATAAAAGGTCCTGAAATGACAGATGTAATACAATTCCAATTTACGAAAAAGACATTAAACGAAAAATAAATATGATAAACAACAACTATTATATTCCACTCCAGTTGTTCACACGATATATATATATATATATATGTAAGTTTGGTAAATCATTGGAGATTAAATTGATGTTATCATTTTTTGCCTGATTGGTAAGCAAATATTTGATGAATTTTTATACAAAAAATATATGCTGTTTTTGTCTCGCTTGACGGAGTCAAAAAGCGAGGCATAGGTATGCTGTTTCTGGCATTGGTGACGACAGCGGCGTCAACAATGTATTAGTTTGTGATTAGGTCTAGTTTATAGAGAACCACAAGTAGTAAGTCGAAGATATTTGGTATGCAGTTGTATTAGTATTGGCACATCTCATTACCATGGAGATTATTTGGCCCCTCCCCTCAGTTATGGTTTATTGACTTAATTTGAAATTCTTGCTTAGTCTTCATGTATTAGTTTGTGATTAGGTCAGTTTATGGAGAACCACTAGTGGTAAGTTAATTATGAATGGTATGCAGTTGTATAAGCATTGGCATATCTCATTTCCATGGAGATTAATTATTTGGCCCCACCCTCTCAGTCATGGTCTATTGACTTTTAAATTTTTGCTTAGTTTCATGTATTAGTTTGTGACTAGGTCAGTTTATGGGGAACCACTAGTGGTAAGTTCATGATAATTGGTATGCAGTTGAATACGCATTGGCATATCTCATTTCCATGAAGATTATTTGGCCCTGCCCCCTCAGTCATGGTCTATTGACTTTGAAACTTTTGCTTAGTTTTCATGTATTAATTTGTGATTAGGTCGGCTTATGGGAAACCACTAGTGGTAAGTCAATGATATTTGGTATGCAGTTGTATTAGCATTGGCACATCTAATTTCCATGGAGATTGTTTAGCCATGTACCTTTAGTCATGGTTCATTGACTTTGAATATTTGCAAATCTTACATGTTAAAGTGTTGCTATTTTAATTTCAACATTTGCATTATCGAAATTACTAAAAAGCGAGACATATCTCTGTGATTACAGTTTATTTTTTTTATTACAGCAACTGTATTCCAAGAGTCTGATGGCTGATAATGTATTACAGGATTTTACCATTCAAGCAACATCTTAGAAGGATAAGTGCAAATGTATGAAGGAAGCCTTGGGTACAAATAGCAATTACAGCAATTACATGCAGGAGAGAACTCTTAAACATTACTAACAGACATGTAGTCATTATATGGGAGTGGTGTATTTAAGAAATCTAAAACACCTGAAAATAAATATTGTGTATATTATTTCAACCACAAGTACTCTCAGAATATAATACAATTCAAATTCAAGTTATTGTGTCAACATGACAATTATAGTCTAAAAATGGAAAATGCATGTTTATACTGAATTTTATATAAATATTTGAAATAACAAGAATTTTTAGTCTATTGTGCAGCCAAACTTTGAGATCTTCTAATGGTATATGCCTGTTGTTTGTCAACATTTGTTTTCTTTTTGCCTTAACCTTATTAAGATTGGTGTTGAAATGAAAAAAACTGAAATACATATATGAAATAAAAAGGAAATGGTTGTAAATAACAGCAAGACTTTCAATATGGTATATGTCATGATCTACTTAATTAACCAGAGTCTATACCAATCAAAGAGCTTCCATCAACACCAAATTCTTTAAATATTTTTTTTTATTAGGATGAGACTTAAGACAACCACTGAAAAGGTTCCTGGCTTGAAACAGGCACATGAATATGTGGCAGGGTGAACTACTTTTTTTCCTAAAAACTTTCAAAAGAAAAATTGGCATCTTTTGCAAGTGAGACAATTTCCACAATATGATTGCATTGTCTCATGACTGATAACCACAAAATGACTTGTACATACATATTAAAAATGAAATACACATCAGTGCATACATATTCTATAAATGAATCACCAATCCTTACATCACTTTTAAAAAAAAGTATTGAGACTTGACCATAACCGAAAAAGTTCTAGGAGTGAACTAAGGTGACCTGGATATTTGCTTGCCTTCTTTGTTTTATTGCATCCTATCTCTTGCATTGGAGATATTGTGAGTTGGGAGTTGATAGATAAATATTTTTTGTATTGTTTAGGATCAAGAAAGTAAAATATAATGGAAGTATGAACACATAGTCAAGACCAAGAAGAATATTTATATATATCAAAATAGAATGTGTACTAGATTAGCATTAACTTATCTAAAATATGCTCAAATACTGTGAATTTGTGTGATTGATGCTCAATTCACCTTAATTTCATTTTAGAAAAATTAACATGAAAGCTTGATTCATGTTAGTTTCACATGAAACATTTAACATGAATTTCACGTTAAAGCTCAATTCACATTAATTGCACATGAGTTTCATGTATAAGCTTGTTTGAGGTGAATCTCACAAGAAATTTACGTGAACAAAATTTGCCTGTGTATATATATAGAAAACACATGTATAACGCATGTGTTACAAAACGCATGTAATTCACTTGAGAACTAAGATACATGTCAACAATCATGGTAATTGGACAAATAGGAGGACATTTTGAAAAATATTTAATACAGGCACCATGCCTTTTAAATGCAGTAATCACGCATGTATCACAGGTGTATTTCCTTACACATGTTATTCACATGTGAAACGCATGATCACATGTGTGTATCATGCGTATCACATGTGTTTTCCACACATGTATCACATGCGTGGCATGAAACGTCTCTTTCACATGCGTGTGACACACATGTGAAACGCATGTGTCACACATGTACACATGTGTGGCATTTTTGCCAGTGTAATGTGGGGCGTCCGTTTGGCTGTGCGGGATGTACAAATTTGCAGCCACGTCCGGTCAGAATGGGGACGTTAAATCCGATGCCTCGTGTAAAGAGATTGCCACGCTCTTTGCACGTTAAGAACCCTTGCAACAACTCTTTGAGGGGTCCGTAGGTGACCTGTTGCAAGGCTAAATTTCTGTCCCTATCCAATGTGCCCTCATTTCCCGTGGCAGTCTAAATTTCTCCGACCTTAATCACGGACACCTACCTATTGTATTTATTGTTAATTTGTTTTCGTCCTGAATATGCATGAAATATTTGCCACTGGACGTTAAGCAACCAACAATCAATCAATCAATTGGATGACAACATAGTCGCCGCCACAGGCTACTTCCAAAACTAATGAGGTACACCGATTGTGCTTTGATTTGTAAAAATAACATATCTAAGGAACAAAAAGATCAAAACTAATATACTTAAAATAACCGGAGCGTGTACCCATAATAATTCTGACGAAAAAAAAAATGACTTAAGGTAGCACAATACAAAGATTTTTTCACCCCCAATCAGACAACTTTAAACTGTTGTAATTTTTTTCATCCAGCTTTAAATTTTATAAATGAGGTACCAAAAGAAAGAAGAAAGATTAATCTTTCAAATGGTGATTATTTCATTATGACATGATTATTACATAATTAGTTGATATATTGTGATGTCCACACTTGAATGAAATTAGCTTCTTTGTTATTCATACCATCCCAAAATATTTTATAGATTCTTGTGCAACACAGTTTGACCTCCAAAAGGGTGTCTCAGACTTTTCCTATTGTATTTCATTCTCTCATAAACCTTCAATGAAGTTTGCAACCTCAATTCATAAGAGATAACTAAATTAAATTGGGTATAACATTTGTTCTATTGATGTTTTTGGAAATCTGAGACACCCTTTTGAAGATAACTGGTCAAGGAACAACATGTGTGAAAATCAAGCATATAGAGGCACCCATCTAGGAGCTAATTTCATTTAAAACTAAATTTTCATGACAAAAATGAATGTGTCACAATTGAATAAATAAGGATTTTCCTACTTGTACCCCTTTAACTTCAATATAATTCACACATGTATCATGGGAATACTTCAGGATTGGCCTTTAATCATAAATCAATTAGGTTTTGACCAATAAGAAAGCATTCCAATTCAGCAATTCTAAATATATAAAGAAATTGCACACCCTATGCATCAACAATCACATCTGGCGGGAGATGTTATATCATTATTGACCTTGCTGTAAGTCAGTTGCTACTGATATGGTCAAAACTCCGCCAACCATGATAAACCTTTACAATTAATGATCTCAGAAGTTTAATTACACATTGCATTTACTTTTTTCAATATGGATTTTATTCTTTTAGTACATAAAATGATATATTTTGTTTTTTGCATTGTTACAAAAAGTAAGTTATGCATGTGTACACAAAATGATCAGTTGGTCAGTCTAGAGGATCCTTATGGGGGATTTCTAGAATTATAATTGTATACAATGACAATATGGTGTTTTACACAAAGTAGATTTTTTTCATTTTTTGCAGTTTGAAAATGAAGTATTTAATTTGTATTTTCTTTTTAAAAGAATTCACATTTAAAC